TGCTCTCCACTCGACTGTCTTTTTTTCCCTTGTTGTCGATTTCTTCACTGCGGTTCGTCTTTCACATCACAATGCTCATCTCTGGCCTTCATCCGTCCATGCGCTGTTACCCCCTCTCGAGGCTATCGTGAACCTGCATTTATTTGTTTTTAGCGCAGGGGGGGGGAAGCAAAAGTGTGAGAGAAGCGGCAGACCGGCCCAGAAAGAAGAGACGAAGGAGCGGCGCGAGACAATACTCTGAGTGGAAGGTGGGTGCGCCCAGCCAATGGAGGAGAAGCTCCTGCTGCGGACGTAGCGGACTGTTGGGCTAGCTGCTAGCTGGTAGCTACTCGCTACCCCATCTCGTAAAAACGACCAAGCAACGGAAGAAAAGAACTCACATTAAAAATAGAGAAAAAAAGCGGATTGACAAGACGCCAAAGTTGAGCCAAAAGAAATCAAACCGTTGGCTGGAAAGACCCCCAATCCACGCTGTATTAGTGGGTAGTGGGAAACCCGGGGTGCATTTCCGTCCTTTCGCTCTTTCCTTATGCTGGTCTTATAATGTGCCTGTCTGTGTTATGCTCTTTCCTTATTCCGTCCTCCGCCGCCTCCGCCTTTCTGCACACCTTCCTACACCCGCGCCAATATCTCAGCGCAGGCTGACAGTACGTTGGCTTTCTTTTGTATGACTGCGACGTACGTTCTCCTTGAGTCGTCCGTCCCACCAGCCTCTCGTCGTAAAACGCTCATCCTCACTGGGACCTCCCCCACCACCGGCACCGGCGCAGTCCCCGTTTTCCTTCTCCACCCCGGTATCAGAATTACCTTAACCGTTCGCCTCTCGCTCGATCGCTCCTTCTGCGCCGCCTTGTTCTTGGTTGGAAATAGTGCATTCAGCCCGTCGCTCCTTACGAGTACAGTCCCAGAGTCCCAACCCCCAGCCAATGCGCTCCTTCTTCTCCTGGTTCCTGGCCCGGGCAATCGAGCAAACGACCAATGAGTGCCGCCGTTCCTGGAAACTGCCTACCAAGTTGGATACGTGCACAGCGCCAGGAAAAGCAGGAACGCCCGCGCACGCCAACAACACCAGCCGCCAGGCCAGACCTGCAAAAGGTCATACAAAACGTGCCGAGGACGCTTTGTCGGCGAAGGAGACTTTTACCCTTTTTCTCCTTGTATTTCGGCGGTCCACTCCTCCTTCTTAGGCAATTGTTTACGTCGTATGCCTGTCTTATTTTGTACCGTATCACTTCATACTCGTACCTGCCCGTCTTGAATTTACTTGTATGGGACGTTCCTTCTTAGTCTGTCCGTCGAGTTATCTCCTTCCCTCTGTCTCCCTTTCGCCCCCGTCCCTCCTTCCCACGTAAACAGTTGCTTCCAAAATCGAGCCTCCTGATTTGTTTGTGTCCAATTGACTTTTTCTTCTTTTTCTTTTTGCTATTTTGCACTGTCGTGATTTTCATCTCTTTGTCTTCTTTTCTGGGCTCGTTTTCCGGCTTTCCACATCTCACACTCTCTCACACGCACCATTCCCCATTCCCCGGCGTTCCGGGGAGAACTCCACCCCCGCCGCTTACTACGGCAATTGCGATCTTTTCGCACTGGTTTTCACTTGTTTCGTGCCTTTTGCCCTCCTTTTTTTATTACCTCACTGCTGGTCCTTTCTTTCTTATTCTCAAAAATTGTCTTGATTAACTCTCCTTAATTGGAAGCAAGCCTTGACTCAATGACTGTGCCTTGCATTTTGGCATAGCAGCCACCTCCAAAGTCGATTCCGGGCTGGCCGGGGTTGAGTGAGCGACAGCGAGGGCGAGGAAACAGTAAATACGCAAGGCACGAGACGAGAAACGATATACCACCCAGCGGCAAGCGACGAAACACCCAACACGGACACTGGGAAACGGGTCGTACGCAAGACCAGGGGAATACGACTAACGAAACCACGAAACTGTTGGAAAAGAAAAACAAAGAAGAGGAGGGGGAACAAACACTTGAAAGAACAAAAATAGGACGAAAGACGCCTGCCAGAACTCACGCACGCAAGGCATAGATAGCGTGTGAGACAAAGAAGACAGACGACAGACGACAAACGGAATTGGAACCAAGCGGCACAGCCCAATCCAATACGTTTGCAATTTATAAGTGGCTGCAGACCGCCCAGGCCGCATTCGCTTGCAAATCCCCGCGACGACACACGACACACGACACACGACAACACAGAGCAACAATGGCTACCACGGCGACAGCACCAATAGCCATAGAGTTTTCAGGTCCGCCATCGCCTGTGCATGATGCGCCGGCCTATTCCGAGTCGGCCGCCGAGCCGGGACAGCAGCTTACGCAAGTGCTGACATCCTCCTCTCGGCGCTCATCCGCCTCGACCGTACCGTCCCGCCCGTCGCTCACCCGCCGGACATCGCTTGAGGAGGACTACTTCTACCGCGAGGTCATGACCGTTGAGAAACGACCCACCGAGCCGCCGCCGTCGTACGAGACGACCATGAAGAAGATCCGGCGAAAAGAACGACAAGAAGCTGCTGCGGCGGCAGCAGCTATGGCTGCAGAAACAACAACGGCGGTGGCAGCCGAGGCAGCAGCGGCCAGCAAGAGCGACGTGTCGGAAACGACGCCGCCCTCGCCAACACCGGTTCTGTCCTCGACAAAGGGCAAGGAAACGGCTTCCTCTCGTCCCACGGCCTCCAAGTCCAAGTCCAGGTCCAAGTCTGCGCCTGCGCCTGCGCCCCTTTCCAACTCTGGCGCCGTTCACACCAACACACCCGATGACGTCCTGCCGCCCTACTCCTGTGACATTCACATCGAAGGCGTCTTTCAGCGCAAGATGGAAATTGAGAATGCTACCAAGCGAGCCGAGGATCGTCGCTGGGCTACGTCCTACGTGGTACTGCATGGCACCTCTCTCGAGATCCACCAGTGCCGCAAGGACCGCAGCTGGGCCGGCCGCACGACCCGTACGGGACCGGGTGTGTCGCCCGACCGCCCGCCATGGATGCACAAAGCCGGGCTGGAGAGACGATATAACCTGTCGTACGCCGACGTCGGCATTGCAGCCGACTATGTAAAGTAGGTCATCTGTCCCTGTCCTTGTCCCCTTTCTTTGTCTTGTTTCGTTTTGTTTTTGTGCTTTTAGTCCTTTTTTTTTAAATTACATTTAGCTGACCTGGCATATGCTCTTTACCAGGCGCCGCTACGTGATTCGTGTCCGCGCCGAGACAGATCAGTTCCTGCTATCGTGTGTGGAGCTGGAGACCTTTATCCAGTGGCTCGATGCCCTTTTCGCGGCACTCAGCATTGCTGCGCCGATTGACGAGCGTGACTTTCCCCGCGATCAGAGCATCCCGCGCCTGCAACGTATTCGCTGGTACCGCGGCCGCGACCGCGAGGCGGAAGCCAACCAGGATCGCGAACGGGACGAGGATCGCGGGCGGGAAAGCGAACGGGAGACCGATCAAGAGAGTGACCGCGACAGTGATCGCGACAGTGGCCGCGAAACCAGACAACAGCTGGTCGGCGGCAGCGCCAGCGGTGACAGCAGTGCTGACGACGAGGCTGCTGATGTGATTAGCGCACTGCCCTCGCCTTCGCTCTCGCGGCCCATCTCGCCCTCGAGGCTACCGTCCAAGTCCGTGCGTACGGGACAGTCGCTAGCGGCGGCAGCTGCTGCCGTACTTGAGGAAGAGTCCCGTCGGGTTATGGGCGCAGCCCCCATCACGGCTGCCGGCGCGGCTGCCTCCGCTCCGCGAGTTGGTTTGGGATCGACCAACGCCTCGTCCATCTCGCTGGCTACCGCGTCGTCTGCGTCGACTGTCGCTGGTCCGTCCACGGCGCCGCTGCACAACTTGACTGCGCAACAGCAAGCCGCCTCCCGGGCCATGCTGTCGCAGGGGAACCCAGTCCCTGACAACAATGTCCAAGGCAAGAATGGTGGCACCGGCGGTCGGTTCTCACTCCGTTCGATTCGTTCGCGATTGAACCTTGGTGGCGGCCAAGGCGGCGGCGGCAGCAGCAACAGCAGCAACAGCAACAGCAACAACAACAACACGAACAGCGCCGGACGGATGATGAATGCACCGGCTGGCTTCCGCCACCACGCGGTTGACGCGACGACGGGCAAGTGGCAGCCGAGCCACCGCTGGACCAAGACGCACGACATGGTGTATGCAAAGCTGTGCTACGCGACGCTGCTGTTCCGCAGCCCGCGCAAGTCCAACTACATTGTGATGCGCGGCAAGCAGTGGCTGGTGGACTGGAGCACGGGCAACATGGTGCGCGTGAGCCCGCCGCGCTACGGCGAGATTGAGACGCAGCCTGGCCCGTTCCAGGTGCTTCGGACGGAGAACACCAGAATCTAAGTGGATTGGGTGCGGGTTTGACGACGAGATGTGTATATGTGGAGACGGTTGATCTTCTCCGTTTTATGTCTGTATGCTTGTATGTCCAGGGGTCGTTGATTACTTCCCCTCTACTTTCCTCTTCCGGGAACACGATTGGCGTTTTGTTTGCTGGGGTTCGCAGTCCATTTCTTTCTCCTGTCTTTTTTGCACCATTTTCTGCTTCCTGCGCGGATTCAAAAGCATGAGCGCCACCTGATCTGTTTGTCTATTTTTATTTTTTATTTTTGTTTCGGGTTTCTTCCACTTGCACGATCTTTGAAAGCCACATTTCCTTTGTCACTGAGATTTTGTTCATACATGCCGCTTGCCCTCATTTTGCTGCACATATTTTGCATTTCTGTGCATAGTGACATTCTTGTCAACTGTACATATTATTCCAAAATAAAGTAAACCACAAAAAGAAGAAAAAGCGCCCCGGAAACATCATATGACAACTAGGGCCACAAACTACAAATACAATGCGACAGTACATATGATTTACCACATAACCGAACAGCCAAACAGCCAAACGGCCCTGCCTAAAAAAACCTATCCAACCTTTGACGCCGCCCAAAACGTAACAGAATCGTAAAATACATCAATGCATGCCCTCTCCTGCCACCCCTAAATCCCCGACATTTCCACTTCGGCAGCCCGCGTCTCCCGTGCCAACTCGGCCACCAGAGTATTGTCGACCCCGTCGCCGCGGCCGTTCTCGCTTGTGCCATCCAGCAACGCGGCAGCGCCTTCGGCGTCCGCCAGGGCCCGCTCCAGCGCCGCCACCAGCTGGGCCGCCTCGGCCTGCTGCGCTGTCAGCCTGGCAAACCGCGCCGTGTTGGCCGCCTGCACGGCGGCCAGCCGCTCTTCCAGCAGCTTCCGCTGGGCCGTGCGCTGGGGTGTCAGGTGTGCCGCCAGCACCGTCTCGGCAGGCAAGGTGTGGGGCGGCGGGGGTGGGCTGCCTGTGCCTGTGCCTCTGTCTCCTGAGGCCGTGGCCGTGGCCGTGGCTGCCAACCGCCGCTTCTGGGCGTCCACGGACAACGTCTCCAGCTCATTGAGCCGCCGCACGACGTCGCGGTTGCGCATGACGACGGCAAACTCGGCAGCACACAGCTCGCCGAGACGGTCGACCATGGCGCGGTGGACGGTGCGGAGGGCCTGTGGCGACTTGGCGGCCGCGGTCGGGTAGCAGGCGGCGAAGTTGTCCCAGCTGATCTTGGCCAGCGTGTGGTCGAGACTGGACGCGAAGAGCGCCTGGAGACGGCTGGCGCGGGGGCCTGGCGGAGGCGGTGGTTGTGTTTGTGTTTGTGATTGTGCGTTTTGGCCCTGTGTGTCCGGTTGCGTTTGCGAGGCTATTCCGTCGCCAGGGCCTTGCTCGTCTGCGTCTGCATCAGGAAGGACCTCGTCGCTGTCGCCTGCTGGCCGTTGCTGGTCGGACGAGAGTGTGTCTGTCGCTGTAGTTGCCGATGTTGCCGATGTCGTCGTTTTGTCGTTTTTTGGCGCGCCGCTCGACGCGGTCGCTGCCGCCTCGTTCGCCGCCATTTCTGCTCCCCAGTCCTTGTTCCGAAATTCACTGAATGACGCGCGCGACAGATGGGGGATTTCAATTCGACAAGAGGGACGGTCGTGCTTTGAGGTTGTGCCGTGTGTCGACCGCTATAGTGCAGGTCGCGATAAGAAGGCGACGAGGGGTCCACACACTGTTTAATGCGCTGGGGACGGAGACGCGTTTCTGGCAAGGCTTATCGATAACGCGCTCGTAGCTGGGGCGTTTCTTAGTGACCTCAGAGCCCCCTGGGCCCCCTTATTAAACTAAACACAGTCACAGACTTATATAAAATCGTCGTCAGGTAATTCACTAGACAAATAAATTAAGATTAAAAGAACTGCCGATAATTGGGCAAAATGATACTGATTCAGTTTAAAGAGTACGACTTGGTAGTGTTTCAAATCCAACTCATTGACCAAAAAGAACCGAGACGAAACAAAAGCCAATTATTAATTCAAAATTGGAGAAGAAATGGCAGAATACATAATAGTGCTTATAAAAACAACACAACGCTGAGATATAAACATGCAAACAAGGTGAGTCCGAGTTCCGGTGAAACAACCGGTGAAACAAAAGCCGTAAAATAAAATCGAAATTTTCGAAACCCACGAAACCCAAAAACAAACAAAACGACCAATATCAGAAATCCAAAAAAGCAGCCATCCCAAAGTCAACTACTGGTAATCAACCTTGGCTTGCGGCCGGCCATCATTTCTCTCTAACCGCCGCCTCCGTCGCCGCTCAGCCGCTGCTGATGACGCCACGTCCGGCGGTTGTGAACCGCCGCCGCCAGCGCCCGGTGAGGGGCTCATGGCGCCCCACGTGCCGTGGCTGCCGCGACTTTCGATGCTCGTCATCGTGTGCCCGGCGGTCGGATTGCTGCCCGACGGACCAGCAGCTGTCCCTGGTGGGCCCTGCGCGCCCGAAAAGTACGCCGAGTCCTTGGGTCGCCGGCCACCGGCAAACGGCGGGTTGGGCGGGTTCAATACGCCACTGCTGGAGTGAGGCGGCCCTTGGTACGGGGGCGCTGCCGGAGGCGGTATGGAGCCCTCCGTCCTCTGCTCGGCCGACAGTTCTGCTGGCCGCACGCTCGACTCTCGCCGGTACCGCCGGTTGCTGGGCGAATCGGTCCCAGACAGGCTGCTGGCATCGTCGCTGGGATGGGGCCGCCGCTGTTGGCTGCTTCCACGTTCGGCTGCTGCCTCCGCCTCGGTCAACCGCCGTAGGGTAATGTTGCCTGCCCGGTCGTGTGGCACCTTAACCTTCACACTGACGGGGGGTTGGTTCGCTGGTGGCGGATACGCGGCATATCGGCTGTCTTCGTCTCTCCGCCGGCTGTTGCTCCGGCCCATTGCTCCTGCGGCCGTACCTGCCACGGCTCCTGCTGCCAGTCGCTCGGCTTCTCGGCGCCGGCGCGACGATGACCGCTGCACGCGACCCTGAGGAAGAATAGAGTCGCTGTCCGACTCAGGCGGCATCTCCGGCATGGTGACCGGCTCGACGTCTGGGCGAGGTCGCGACATTGAGTGGGAACGGCGGGGGTTGGCAACGGGCGTGACCGGCGCGTAAGCAGCCCCTCCCGCGGCGCCCGCGGCACCCGCGGCGGCTGCTCCAGCCACGGGAGCATACGGCCGCGAGCCGCCCTGCTCGATGATCGATTCGGAAACTTCAGAGTAGCTTTGCGCATGGGACGGTGGCGGGCGGCGGCCGTAGCGGTCACGGCGGACAGGCGAGCCGTAGCCGTCGCCGGTGTATCGCTGCTGCCCGTGGGTTCCCGCTCGGCGGTCCTCTTCTTCGCGGCGCATGCGTTCATTCTCCTGTGCGGCAGTGTCATTGCGGCGCCCAAATCTGCTCGCAAGCCAGCCGAGTCCCATACCGCCCAGGAGGCCCTTGCCGGCCGAGGCCATGCGACCGCTGGCTGGCGGTGTGCGTCTTGACGGGCTTTGGTACGATGAATAGTCGGAGCCGTCGACGGGGTCGTGCATTGAGTGCGTACGTTGGTGCGAAGGCCGAGGCGTGACAGGACGGTTGTTGTTGTTGTTGCCGCTGCTGCTGTGGCGGTACGCGTTGCCCACAGACGCGGCAGCAGCGCCAGCAGCAGCACCAGCAGCGGCAGCGCCCATGCTTCCGTGGTGGTGGTGGTGCCTCACTGGGGAGCCCGTTATGTTGGTGCGGCTGTCCTCGGTAAAGTCGCTGGCGTTACTGATGGGCACGGTGTTGCGTCGAGGCGGTGGGCGAGAGAGGCGGCCAGTGCGGCCTGGATGGCTGGGGGTGTCTGTGGCGACGGCCGAGTACTCTTCGTCCCGGTTCTTCTTCCTACGGTTTGAGATGAAGTTTGTCAGCAAGGCGCCGGCGCCGGCGGCAGCACCGGCTGCGAGAAGCTTGTTCATGAAGCCACCGTTGCTGTCCTTGCGCCGGTTTGCATTGAACTTTTCGTCTTCGACAAAGCTGTCGGACCCTCTGCGCGACGAAAGCACCTCATGACGGCCGTAGCTGCGGCTGCGGCTGCGGCTGCCGACACGGGACCGGCTCTGGCGCCGGCTGCGATCTGGCGACTGGTCACGCTTGTGGCGACGCCAAAGTGCCCACGCACCGGCACCGGCCGCCAGAGGACCCAGCCAGCGCAGCGCTCCGCCGCCTGACTTGGCGGGAGTATTGGGGCGGCCACCATCATAGTAGCCATCGCGGCGCAGACGACCCTCGTGGCGGTGGTTGAGGATAAAGTAGACAAACAGCAGAAACGTCATCCATAGCGTGTACAGGACGAACAGGGCCTTGGGCGAGCCATACAGTGTCAGGCCCAGAGGTACCTGGACAATGCCAAGGATCGCAATCGCGCTGCCGAACCAGCGGTGGATGGACAGACGGAGCGAATGGCGACCAGCAAGGTGACGCACGAGGCGGCCGCCGATGATCTGCAGCAGGACGAGCGTGTAAATGGCGACGCCGATGCCGTGGTGCGGGTTCGTCAAGCTGCGATGCGGGCCGACGGCAAACCAGCCGGTGACCAACACGACGGTCGCGAGCAGGACGGCAATGACGTTGAGATACGCGTGGTAGCGCACGGCAGCACCGGTTCGATTGCTGTGGAAGCGGACGATCATGACGCTGATGGGAATGATGAACAGAAACGTAATGATGCCAATGGCGGCGTGGCCTTTGATGAGCGTGTGGTATTGCGCGACGGTGGAGAAGCGATTGCCCATTCCTGAAAGCTGTTAGTGTGCTGTGTATCTGTGCGCTTGTGTTTGGTTCAGGCGTCCCTTTTGGGACGGCAGTACATACCATTGTAGCGCATGGTGTCAAAGTTGAGGCCCACAAGATTGGGCAGCAGAAAGTCGTTCTTGGTGAAATCCCAGGTCCCGTCGCCGACGTTGAGTGTGTCGGACGTATAAGAGCTGGAGCCCGCCGGGGCGAGCTGGTCGGCCGGCGCCATGTCGGCGGCGGCGGAGAGGGGGGAGCGGGAAAGCTGCCGGTGTCGCGGGCGGTGGGCGCTACTGATCCTAAGGACGGGAGATGGCCAGGTTTGAATCGGCTCCAGAAGCCCCAAGAAGGGCAAAGTCGAAAACGGGATCCGATTTGCAGATTTGGAATGCGGGTTGATGCGCTGGCGTCGGACGACCGACAGGGAGGTGCGGAGGCTCTGGAATGCAGACAAACAATCGATCCAGCGGGAGACGACGGCGGCGTGTTGCGTGACGGCCAATAGTCGATGGAATTGAAAGTACTCGTCGTCTTTGTTCTAGTTTGTTTTCGTCGAAGATCTCGTTTTGGAGGCCTCGAGGTATGCGTGGAATGGCGGGGTATGGGGCGTCAACAGAGGCATTTGTGAGCAACGTGCAGGTACTTTGCAGGCGGAGCTGACGGCGCGGCGTATCGTGCGGTGTGGAATGACAGTGTGACGGGCTGCGTTCAAGTGTGTGAATGATGTTGAATGTTGTGAAGTTGTAAAGTTGTTTTGAAGTTGTGGGTGAGGGTCTGAGACAGGCTAAATGTTGGAAAGTGCCTGGATTAGGATGGAGCCAGAATGTAAATAAAAGAAGGAAAGAGCCATCGGGCAGCTTCATCCACAGCAAAACATCCCAAAACGACCCTTGTCTTTCTTCGGGGTACCAAGCAAGCCGCAAGACAGCGCAGAAATGCAACAAAACAGCAGAGAAGCTCATAGCCCTCATGCGCAATTGATTGGCTTCCCATCGGGGTCCTCCCAGCCAGTCCCGTCGGGACCCCAGCGCATCATGCAGCCAAAGGTTTTGGTGTGCAGCTTGTGTACACAGCTGTGGAGTCTCGTTGGTGGGGTGACGAGGAAGGTGCGCCCCACTGCGGCCATGGGCAACGACTCGCGATAAGAGATAAGAGCAGAGCAGACGGTCATGTGACTTTTATATGAAGGTAACGTGACAGTTCATGTGACATGATTTGACCCCGGACTCCTCTTCTCCGCAACACTCGTTTTGGCTTGTGATTCTGCATCTCTAATTTCTCCATCGCCAGTTTTGCCCACCACGATCGTGTCGATCCCCCATGAAACAACCAGCAACTGGGGCAGACATGTGTATTTAATAAAGACCAGTTCATGCGTTCGACGTCTTCACAGCCAACAACGCCGTCCTGCGGCCACGCGACCGGCGGGACGCACTGCCAGACCTGGCCCTTGTTCCGACCCAATTCTCTAGCCGCAGATAGTTTGATGAGGTTCTTTGTCGTTTCCTGGACACAATGGCACTCCACACGGAGTGCGATACAAATAGACTGGGGTTCGGCGCTGTCAGCTGCTCAAGAGAAATAATCGACGTAGGCGAAGAGGAGTTGCGAGAGGAGAAGAACTGAAGAACGCGCTAGAGCTTCTGTTTGCATGCCCCGGACGGGGTTGTGTTGTAGCGCGTTCCGCCTGTAGGTACGGGGCCCGTCCAGCGCCCGCGGCGCGGAAACGCTGCACCTGGACGCCCCCCAAATCTTCACCTCCCGCTAACAAGGACCTGTGACCAAAACTGGGGTACTTGGCCCGCCACCGTAATCGCTGCAAACGGCAAGTATTACTACGTGTTGACTGCAGAGAATACCGACCCCACAGCGTCCCCAATTAGATCAGCTGAAAGCCGAGGCAAGAGCGACTGGCTCAACTTGTTGCTGCCGAGAATGCCAACCTTTTTTTCTGGGGCCTAGCAGCAAGCACCTGAGGTCAGCCACGCTATTATTCCGCTGGCGAAAAGTGCAAGACACGCCTATCGACGCACCACGACAAAGCAAAAGCATGCCGTCTATCACCGCCACGCATCGCGTCCCCCATGGCTTCTCTTGTTGAGCGCGGCCGATTCCATTGAACCAGCGAGCGAACAGGGTACACAGGGGCGGAAAAGACGAAAGGACAAACCAGACATAACAGACACGCTCCGCTGTCTCCACTGCCTCCGCTTCTTCTTCTCTCCCTTGCTCTCTCTTCCTTGAACTCTTCATTGAGACGACGGGTTATCGCCAGCCTCCTTCTCCTTTCCCTTCTTTTCTTTCCACGGCTGAACACTAGCACGCCGTGCCTGTCTCAATGTCGTTCCGCACCACGTACTCGGCCGGCTTCAACCCGGCCTTTGGCGGCCATGGCCATGGCAACAGCAATGGAAACGGCAACGGCCACTCGCTCTCCTCGTCCATGTCCTCCCTCTCGGCGTCGATGCATGCCCGCAGCGGCTACGCAAGCCGTGGCAGCCTGGCCAGCAGCAACATCTCCAAGACGTACCGCCAGGCGTCGACGCTCTTCTTGACGCGTCGGCTGCCCGAGGCACTGACGACGCTCCTCCCCTTGATCACGCCGCCTCACTCGGACGATGACGACGCTCACAGCACGAACGGCAGCAGCAAGATGAACGGAACCAACGGCACAAACGACACAAACGGCGCCAATGGCACGCCAGCGGCCGTGGTCGAACCGGCACCAGTGGCCTCGGCGTCACGGACCACTCGGGTCAAGGTGTGGAGCCTGTACCTGACGATTCTCAACGCCATTGTCGAGCTCGAGGCCGACGAGGGCAAGGACGCCTTTGGCACACAGGACTGGCGCGCGCTCTGCACTAAGGTGCGCGACGGCGACGTCTGGGAAGAAGTTGTCCGCAACGGCTACCACGGCGCCGAAGGCGATGTTGACGCCGATGTTGTCATTAACCTGTATGTTCCTTTTACTTTTGCTCTCTATCATTACTCGATACGCACGCACGCACACACACGAGAGAAATGCCAACTAACTATCCAGGGCCACCCTTCTTCTCGCACACGCCAAGACACAGGTGCTCAACCAGAAGCGGCTCGAGAGCTACCTGTCCTTCTCCCAGTCACAAGTCTCCCCCAACCTCGACCTGTCCGGTCGCTTTGAGACGTCTCTGCAGCGGCGCTCGCTGTCGCGGCACCGCTCGCCCGCACGGCGCACGCCCGGCACCGACACGCCGCGCGATCTCAACTCGCGCGTCAAGATTCTGGAGCTGTACACGCTGCACGTGCTGCGGCGCAACGGCGAGTGGGACTATGCGCGCGAGTTCATCACGGCCAGCCCCATCCTCGACGAGGAGCGCCGCGAGGCCTTCTTGCAGGCCCTGCAGAGCCTGCAGGACGAAGAGCACGAGGCCGAGCAGCGCGAGGCCGAGGAGACGCGGCGGCAGGAAGAGCAGGTCCAGCAGGAGCTCGACGAGGCACGCCGTACCCGGGCCGCGAACGAAGCGCGCGAGCGCAGGCGAATAGAAGAGGAGCGCGCACGACGCATGAGTGGCAGCAGCGCGTACGGGGGTGGATTCGAGGGCATCGGAGGGAGCGAAGTGGAGTACTCGGGCGACGGCATGAGCTCGGCGAGCCAGCCGCGGCGGCACAAGGCACCCTCCAGCACAGCCGGCAGCACCTCGACACGGGGCGGGGGGCGGACGCGGTCGTCCAAATCGGCCAAGTCCACAGCACCTACGTCGTCGGCCCCTGCACCTGCGCCTGCGCCTGCGCCCTCAGGATCGGCCAAACCGGTCCGGGCGCCGTCGGCACCCAAGCCCAAGCCAAAGTCGGCCAAGGGCAAGAACCGTGCCGTGGCTGCACCGCCGACCCTGGGATCCCGGACGGCGATGCTCTTTGCCAACCTGCAGGGCTTCATTGAGCAGCTGAGCCGCGTGTTCCAGACCACGCCCTTGGTCCTGCTGCGGACGCTGTTCTTCATCGTGGCCCTGCTGGTTATGCTGGGCCGGCAAGGCAACCGGGAGCGCATCGCGCGTATCCTCGGCGGCGTGTGGAACAAGGTCAAGGCCACCGCCGGCATGGGCGTTAAGGTTAGTTACATCTGAAACCAAACCCAACTGGTTTTGGGAGGGAGTTTTGTTCCAGGGAGTCATTCGTTTTTACGTATCCAGCTTTCACTTTGTCTTTTTTTTATTTTTATTTTTTTAATGTGTATTTATGTCATGCCGACGAGGGGCGCTTTGTATTATATATAGCCTTTTAGCATAACAGAACAGGGCATCAAGAGAACGAGAGCATCATACACAAATCAGAAACAGGCACAACAGGAGCATGGAGAACAATTTATATCTATAAATCAAAACACCGTATGGTTGAAAGATGCGATTTCACCGTGACAACCGTATGATACATGAGGCAGATGAAACCAAGCCGCCCTTGGATCGGCCCCTCTTCTTTTCTTCGTTTCTTTTGTCCTTTCCTTCTCCATTCTGTCGTCTCCCATGTGGGTATCAAAACAACCATATGCCGCCGGCTTTTGAATCCTATACAGTCCAACGCAACAAGACACCGGATGGACGATCGTGGATTGCATAATAATGACAAACGAAAGAACCGCAGACAAAATCCAACACAATCTCACACAACATATACATAGCCCCGGCAGCCTCTTGTGCCCAAACCCGGGCCGCGCCGGGACTAGTATTGTGATCGATTTGTTTTCTTTTGGTAGAAGAGCTGTGCGCTTGTGTTAGCAGAGCACATAACCCGGGAATGCACGAGGTCCAAGGTGACCAGCGAGAGGGTTGGTGGGGGGGGGGGGGCACATACATCTGTCCTGGAACTACCGAGGTTGATGATCTTCGGGCAGCCGTCGCGGTCCTTTTCGAGGCGCGTGCACTCAAAGCAGTAAAAGGCATCCGAGATGCCCTCGCCGCCGCACACCACGCACTTGTTCATGTAGTTGCCAAAGCTGCACTCGTCGCAGATGCGCACAAGCGTCGTCGGCCGCACGTACGAGTCGCACACGGGGCATTTGCCGTCGCATTTGTCGCAGACCCGGCCGACGGCGATGCCCGGCTGCTTGCGGCACATGACGAGATCGGGGTGATGGCGCGACATTGCGGAGAGAGGTGTGGCCTTGGGGCAGGTAAGGAGCGGCCACTGGGTATCGTCGAGGCCGCTGAGGTCGTTGTCTACCGTCAGACGTCAAAGTGTCGATGTGAAGTCAAGGCTGAGGCTTGAGGTCGGACGAACCAAATTTGGCTGGCGCGGCAAAATCATGCTGCTGATCTGCCCCGGCCATAGTGGATTTCTCATCTTTTGCCACTGCAGCTTCCAGCCACTTCTGTGGCGGCTGCCGCTGAGCGCGTTCTCCTTGTAGCGCATTTCCAGCGCATTGCAACCCGACCAGGCCAGGCCTGCTGTATCGCAATTGGCCCACGCCCTGCGCCAGTCGTAGTGGGGCAGGAGCTACCCAGGCTGTCGGCAGCCTTGCATGCATATGCGCCGAGCTCCAACAGCTGCCTTTCATCTGACCAAAAACTGATCTTCATGACGACGCAATCATGAATACGACATCTACGACCTCGGGAGCCATGGCTTGAGCTGTCCATATGAATCGTACATCGATACACATAATTTCTTACTGGAAAACGCGGCCCGTCGCAAACAAAGCGTTCTAAGCAGTAGCTCCCTCAACGACCATCCAAACGACAACGTGCGACAAAGGTGACGATGTCGAGTGACACCGCCATGGCTGCTGCTCATGGCGCAGAGGCCGAGCCAGCTGCTCCTGATGCATCCGACATTGCGCCAGCCCATGCACCGTTTCAATTAGGTGATGAGGAGATGCACATCTCGCCGCATCCACCCAAAAGACCGCGAGACGATGCACGGTCGCCAAGCATGAGTCTAGACCACGACGAGCCAACGCCGAAGCGATCACGGCTGGACAATGCACGTGATGACCGGCGGTCCAGGTCGCCACTGCCGGCAAGTTCCGTGGGGGGCAAACTACATCGCGAGCGCAGCCGCAGCCGCAGCCGCAGTCGCAGCCGCAGTTACTATCAGCGAAACGCGCGGATCCCGGAGACGCGGCGCTCGCGACGAGACTCGACGCCTCCTTTCAAGCGCCGGCGCTCGTCTGGCGCCAGCAGCGGTTCAATACCTGACCCGGAGCCCCGTGATGTGCGCCGCAAGGCCGAAATATCACAAGAGGAGCGGAAGCGTGGCCAGAGGCTGTTTGGCGGCCTCTTCAGTGGACTTGGCCAGCCGACAGCTGCAAGAGCACGGCCGAGGCCGTCGTCTTTGCCGGACCGTGGACAGCTGGAGAACACGACCGGCCTACGGCAGGCCCGCCCAGAGCCGACGGACGAGGACCGCAAACGACAAGCTGAGCGTCTGGCAAAACTCGAGCGCATTCGAAAGATTGAGCAGGTCAAGTTTGACGAGAAAAAGGTGAGCAGGCGGTCCGTCCATTTGGCAGGCGCAACGGACGGGTACAGAATGCTAACAACGACAGATGCATACGGTGCATGCCAACGAGCTATTGATGGCACGGAGCTTGCGCACAAAGTCCCAGCCGCCATTGGTACGTGGCATGTTTTCCCAAACTGTCCAACGGACGACATGTTCGTCACAGTGGTAGAATCACCCAGCTGACCGCATAGTACTACCGCCCCTGGAAGCTCACGCAAAAGCAGGAGGAGACGATCGAGTCTCAAGTGCGCGCTACAAAGAGCCGCATTGCCCAGCAAAAGAAAGATTTTCAAAAGGAGAAGCAGCGTCGGCTGGCTGATTTGGACGTGCGGTACATCCCGAAAGACGGCCCTGATGAGGCGGCCAGATCTCATGCGCCTGAACCAGCCTTGGCTCAATCGGAAGGCACTGCACATGACAGCATGAACATGCCGCCTGTGCAACACCAACAGGCGCAGCAAGACCCGGATGCCATGGTTGATAAGCCAGTTCGAAGCACAGACGCTGAGGCACAGGCACCCGTCGTTCCATCCACAGAGATGTATGCTGGCCACGATCTGCGCGATGATAGAGACAAGGGCATTATGGTGGAGCACGATGAAGACACGGTGATTTACTAGCCGTCAAGTCCGCCCCACGGCTGTAAGGGGGCATACTTTGGTCGATGGACGATATGGGATGGTGCTGGGGGGTAATGGAAAGGACGTCGAACGCTTGGGACACGAGATACGGGGCGACTTGTGTACACGAACACCTGCCAGTCAACGTCGAGTACTTGAGCGTTGACAAATCTTCGTGCACTGGACATTGCAGATGGATCTCCGGGAGGCTGCCATGGATGGCTATGTCACGAGCATTTCTTATGTCTTTCTTTCTTTCTTTATTCCTCTCCTTTCTTTTCCGCAAGTGCAAAAGTATGACTTTATGACCAGAACATTACAATAATGCACACCTTTGGGTGTCTTTCCACATTGATGCATCGTGCTTCCGCTGGTTTCCGGTTATGCGCAACGCTGGTTACCGTCCCTTTGATGCTGTTTGTACAGAATAGAAGCGGCCTGCTCCGGCCGACTAGTGCGCTTGGACGTGGGGCACAAATTCCAGGGACCAACGAGGCTGCCGATAGCAACTAACAGCCCTAAAGTATGACATAACTTACAGTGTATTCAGCCGGAAAAGCACGAGTGCAGGCACCCAATAATACATCTCATGTGTGGGCAGGTGCCAATTGCAAGCCGCGCCTTGTCATGCGCTCTTTCTGTTTTGGTCTTTTGTCTCTTGTCATGCGAATAGTTTCGCCACTGCCTTATCTTTTGACAGGCCTGAGACCTGCGCCGCCCGTGCCTTCCCTCGCAGATCGACTGAGTGGGGGATATCCGCCCGGCCAGGGTACAACAGAAGGCGCCAGCCAGCAGCCAACCAGCACCTTTCCGTTCCGGGCCCGCCAGCCTGATCCCACGCTTTATCAAGCCGCACTCTCGTCTGGTCATACCTTTCGACCACACAACGCAAACCACAACACGACGACACAACACATACGGCGGTGCTGTCCGGCCGCCTCATCTCCTCAAACGCGCTCATTCCGAGTCCGCCGCTCCGACCTAACTGACTCTTCGCGTGCCTCCTTGATTCCTCCAGCAGCGCCCTGCCCTTAAAGGGAGGGCCTGGCTGCTGCTGAGGTCCTTGCTGATTGACCTGATCGTCGACGGTCTCCTCGCCACGTATCAAACCCTGCCACCCTACACATCACATACAGGGCATGCCTCGTGTCTCGATCATGGACAAGATCCGCCAAATGTTCGGTGGCAAGAAGGACGCCGGCAACGGTCCCGACTACGAGCCCGTCAGTGATGAGCGGATGCCGCTGGCCCTCGAAGACGACCGGCACAGCGGCTACGCCTCGTCGCTGACGGAGGGCGAACTCGAGGACGACGGCGGCGGTGCGGCGCCCTTTTCGTGGGTGGAGTACAGCATATTTGTGCTCATTGGCGTCGCCATGCTCTGGGCCTGGAACATGTTCATGGCCGCTGCGCCGTACTTCCAGATGCGCTTCGCTGCCGATCCGGCCATCCGTGACATGTTCCAGTCCACCATCATCTCGGTGTCGACCTGCGCCAACTTGGCCGCCATGCTCATTCTGACCAACATCCAGTACTCGGCCTCCTACCCCTTCCGCATCAACACCGCCCTGGTCATGAACGTGGTCGTCTTTGGTCTGCTGACGGCATCCACCTCCGTCTTCCTGCACGTGGCCTCCGGCGTGTATTTGCTCTTCCTGGTCGTCATGGTCGCCGGCTCTGCCTGGGCCTGCGGCCTGATTCAGAACGGTGCCTTTGCGTTCGCCGCCTCGTTTGGCCGGCCCGAGTACACCCAGGCCATCATGGCCGGCCAGGGCGTTGCTGGTGTGCTGCCGCCGCTGGCGCAGATGGTGACGGTGCTTGTGTTCCCGCCACCGCTGCCGCCGCCGCCGCCGGGCCCGGCAGCCGTCCATCTGCGGTCCGCCGAGGCCGAGGCCGGCACGTCGGCCTTTTACTACTTTTTGACGGCCGTCGTCATCTCCGTCGTGGCCCTCGTGACCTTCCAGCCACTGGCGCGGCGCCATGACCGCATCGTCGAGACGCGCATGGCCCAGGCTCTGTCTGAGAGCATGGCGTCCATCGAGGATGCCGAGCGTGCCGCACGCAAGGTCGTCGGTCTCAAGACGCTCTTTTTCAAGATGCATTGGGTGGCCCTGTCCGTTTTCATCTGCTTTGTCATCACCATGTTCTTCCCCGTCTTCACACCCAAGGTCCTGTCCGTGCGGACCGTACTCGGCGATCCGGCGACTGGTGGCGGCGCCGCCGCCTCTGTGCCGGCCATCCTGCGGCCGCCAGCCTTCATCCCGCTCGCCTTTTTCTTCTGGAACCTGGGCGACCTGCTGGGCCGCATCACCACCATGCTGCCTGTGCCCGAGGTGCTGCAGCGCCGCCCCGTCCTGCTGTTCGCCTTTGGCCTCGCGCGTCTCGTGTTCTTGCCGCTGTACTTTTTGTGCAATCTGGGCGGCCGCGGCGCGGTGGTGAACAGCGATCTGTTCTACTTGCTGCTCGTGCAGCTGCCCTTTGGTCTCAGCAGCGGCTGGCTGAGCTCGACGGCCATGATGACCGCGGGCGAGTGGGTCGAGGACGGCGAGCGCGAGGCGGCGGGCGGGTTTATGGGCCTCTGCCTTGTTGCCGGCCTGACCGTTGGCAGTTTCCTGAGCTTTACCGTCGCGAGCATATAAAGGAAGGCTGATTCATTTATTCACTTTGACGATGCATCTTGTTGCATATTTGATAGAGTCGTTGCACATATTGCATAGTCTGCCTATATTTTTTGTATATTGCATACGTTTATTTGGCTTATGTCTGTTTAGCGTTGTTACTTATTGTATTTTGGTTTTCTTTTCTGTTAGTACAGGGTCTCGTTACCGTATTGCCTCATTGGCTTGCCTCCGTACATGTACCATGATACCACGGTAGCACAACATGCGCCTACTATGTCACTAGTTCTCATCTTTGGTTATTCTCGAAATATCTGTCATATAGTGTTCGGACTTGACGCGGGCTGAATTATCAAACTTCTCGTGACACATTCCCCGTTGTACATTCATCCTGGCAGTTCAGGATGGCAGCATTGTAAATATTACTACAACGGAAAGTTACACCAGCATGGTAGAATTACACGAATTATGAAAACGATTAATGATGAGAACAAATCAGTTCACACCAGGTGAACGAAAAATGCCCCATATGCTGGTCGCAATGTCCCTCCGTACCCGGGAATCAATCCTTGCCCCGAACAAAAGCATAGCCAGTTCTATGACTCAAAATTTGCCGGCTGCGGCCGGTGTTCCCTAATAACCAGCATAATGATGCAAGATATGACAGTAAGGAAGTCTCACCCGGAGATATATTATGATACACAATGTGACAAGCAATGAGAGACAGTGAGAGAAAATGAAAAGAAAATGAAAGTGACATAAGAAAAGCTAATGAGACATGCTAGGAAAAATGTTAAAATCGTTCATGTTACAGACAGGCAAGGAAAATAAGCGAAAAAAAAAAAGACACAATCTAACCAACTGCCCAAGTGCTAATCTCGCTGGCGCTCGAGCCAGCAGCGTGTCTGCTGACGCGGCTCTTCGGTGCCGCGGTAGAAGCCGCCCGCCAGCAGGGTGCGCTCCTGAGCCTGCCACCGGGCCAGCTTGAGGCGGCCGTTTTTGCGGTCGAGGTCGCCGAGCTTGGCTGAGACCGAAACAGGCGCAGCGGACAAAGAGGCATCACCGGTCAGGCCCGTCGTGACCCGCAAAAAGCACGTACAGTCACGCAGCGTCATGGCTGTCTGCAGGCGGTCGAGAGCGTCGCCAGTCTCCAAACCCACAGCAATGGCCCCGTGCGGGTCGTATTCGGCTTGGATGGCGGCTATGCGGCGAAACAGGTCGGTCGTGCGCAGCCACTGAATGATAGCAGGCCGAGCCTTGAGCAGGGCCACAGGCGGCGTGGAGGCACTGAACGGCGTCGCAAACGGCGACGAGGGCGGAAAAGACACGGCCGAGCCGAGGTGCTTGCAGACATAGTCCCATAGCGCAGCCTCGAGCTCGGCTTCCTCTTGCGGCGTGGTCGGCGGGTCGGCGACCAAGACCATGGGACACGGCTTGATTTTGTGCGCCTTGTCCCCTTTGGTGGCCCAATCAGCGTGCCCGTTGCCTGCTCCTTTGGTTGCTCCGTTTGCCGTCGTCACCTTCCCCGGCAACCGCGGCGACGCAGCCGCCGATGCGGCAGAGAGCGCGCACGTACGGCATCGGCGCGCCCCCGCCGGGGCGCTGGGCGATTGGACCAACCACTTGGGCTTGCATTGGATGGTTGTGGTGGTCGAGCCGGAGGAGGCAGCGCGTTTGCACGCTGACGTCATGTCTTCTACAAGCAGGGCCACGTCAACATTGGCGGCCACGCCTGTGCCTACCCAGTCTGGGCGACGACGGTGGCTGCGGTCCAGGTCCCGCAGCAAGCCATCGAGGACGGCGTGCACGCCAGTCGAAACGATGCCCTGAACAAGATGTTGGCCAACCAGCCACTCGGCACCGAGCAGAGGGCGCAAGACAGAAGAATAGAAGACGTGGTGCTCGAGGCATGTGGTGGGGCTGACGCCCGGGCCAGCCTTGGGAATGCGGAGGAGGTGCGTTGACAGGGGCCCTGCATGTGCCATCTTGGGGTTGGCATCCTTTACTGGCTTGACAGCCTTGACAGACTGCGTATCTCGCGCATCCGCTGCATCCTGTGCATCTGGTGTGCAGTCGCTGCCATCATCGACGTCATTGGCTGGGACAACGCAAAACACGGCATTGGCCGATCCCTCGCCGACAAAAGTGCACGTCACGGCAGACGGTATGCAGGTGATCATCGGTGGGGTTGGCAGCCGGTGCAGCGGAGCCTGTGTCCGCGATTGTGTGTGCGATATTGGCGGCAGCGATGCGACGTCAGCTGCGGCCGAGGCGGAGGAAGCATAGTAGCGGCCATTGAGCGTGTCGTCGGCTGCCGCGTCCGCTTCGGCGGCCATAGGAGGGGGTGGAGGCGGAGGGAAGACTGTGGGGTGGCGAAAGGGAAGACGAGATTCCGAGCCTACGATGGAGAGAGACGGCGAAGTAAGGGGGCGAGAAAAGGAGTACGGGGGAAGGAAAAAAAATAAAGAGAAAACGAGAGAAAAGAGAAAAGAGAAGATTTACAGACAAACGAAGACAAGGCTGCCAAGGAACTAACTAATGAGTGTGGAGAGGAGGGGAATGTAAGGATGACGAACATACAAAAAAGAAGCTAACAGAGATGTGCGACGATATCCGCCCTTTAAAGAGGAGATCGCCAGGGTTGGGATCTGGAGAGAAGAAGAGAAATTGAGGCTTGAATTTCGAAAAGGGGGCAAAGAGAAACTCTTATTATTCTGTACGTTGCTCACAGGCAGGCACGAGTTGGCAGCGAGGTCGGCAGTAGAGGCAGGCGCAATCGTGAGCCATCGAGGACAGGGAAGGCGCGGACGAGGCGACGACAATTCGGGCGACAATTCGGGCCCAGTACGGAGGACGTGAGAGCTTGTCGCGGCTAGCGCAATAAAGCGAGCAAAAGAGAAAGAGGCGAACGACATGAACAGAGGCGGTTTCCGTTTTGGGAAGTACCACGTTGAGACACACAAAACCACTTGGCCCGACTATTGGCCGGTAATGTCCCGACGCCTGTTTCGTTTGCTCTCTTATGCCCATTTTCGGGACGAATGTCTCGTACTTTTGTCCCGATGTCTTCGACTCGGGCCTCTTCGACGACTTTAGGCGATTCTGGCGACACAGTGGTCCGTTGATGCCTGCAGCCTGCCAAGGCAGTCCGAGAGACTTGGGCGGTGTGCCTTCCTTACAATATCATCTCTCATCTCTCACGTCTCGCGCCTTCCTGTGGTATATGATAGTGTATAACGTGTGTTTTTTTTTGTATACGGGTGACCAAAAGGGGCAAAGCGAGGAAGGAAGCAGGCGGAGGCAGGCAGGGCGAAGGAAGAGGCGGGCTAGGATAATGGAATGACGAAAGAGCGACGGGTAGCTGCGTCTTACGCGCCGAAGGCGCAACCAAACTGTGGTCCGGGCGGAGGCAACGGGCAAGAAAGACGCAGTACAGGAGACATTATACAAATATGCGAGAGACGTGAGTTACTATGACGGAGGGAAAGAGAGACCCAACGGCGACCCAACTTCAACCCACGGCGAACCGCCGATTAATCTGGCCGCAGGTGCAAAAGGGAAAGCAGGTGCAATACAAGCTGCATGACAATAATTATACGCGCGGAAAGAGCAACAGACAGAGGGGGATAGGAGGAAGGAACGAAGAGAACAAGAAAACGAAGCAGAGGAAAGAACGACGACGTCAGAACGAGGACATCAAGCGAGGCAGCTTCCTGTGCCTGAATGCAGCTTGACAGATGCGGCATCGCCACCTGATAAATATAGCGACGGCGTCTCCAGGACAAGAGGGTGCCTTGGTGCGTCTGGCCACATACGGCTGCAGGCCAGGGCCAGCTCGCCATGCAGGGCCATCTCGTCATCGCACAGCCTGCCCACCCTGCCGTCTTCGTCCGCTGGCTTCCTACTCGCTGCAGCCTCGGCAACACCTGCAGGTCCAGGTCCTGGAGACAATATGCACGATCCAGGCTGGCGAATCGCAGGAGAGCAAGTGAGCAGCCTCCAGACAGCCTGACTTGACCTGTGTGCACGAGTGCGACGGCAGGGCGACCTGGCATCCGTGGGTGGCATCACAGGACAAGTCTCTGGCTCAAAACTGTGGCTTGCCGCCGGTCGTTGTGTGCCGCTTTGTTGGTGTTTCGTCATTTAACCATTTTCTTTTCTCGTTCTGATTTTTTCTGTCCCTTTTGTTTTATTGTTTGTTTTGTTCCACTCGCTGCTACCTGTCTTCACATCCCGCTTGCTCGCTGCAGCCGGTCCGGTCCGTGGAGAGACGCTGCTGCATCGCAGATGCGCCCTCTTCCGTCAATTAATGATTGGCCGTGCACCGGTCTTGTCCCTTTTTTTGCTGTCGAATTCCATCATCGCCTCTTTGTTTTGTCTCTGCCGGCGCTTCGCCTGCAGAGTCAGTGACGGTGCATGTTTACTGTTTCTTCTCCATGCCCCTCCATCGATACTCCTCTGCCCCTCCAGCCTGCATGTTATATTCCTTGTCTGTTCCTCGTCCCTCGCCCCTTGTCTTCCTATTTCGCCCTCGGCCTGCAGCCAACATTCGGGTATGTCCAGCCCCCCAGTCGTCCTGGCTGCCCCGCAGGCCCGCAGCCCGAAAAGGCGGTGTCTGTCTCGTCGTCCGCGTCTCGCCCTACGTCCAGCCCTGACGCCGTCACCGCCTATTTCTCCCTGCATACGCTCCGGCCTCGACTTCATCTCGCCCTTATTTGCATGTTTCACTTTCACAGCATTACTTCTTCCCTTGTCTTTTATTGTGTTCTTCCTCGTTGATTGCTTGATTCTTGTGTCCTTTGTTCGGGATCAGCTGATGCTGTCACGGGCCTTATAACAAGTCACACTATAGCCACACCGCACCCTTCAAGAACACAAAAACAGCATCATCTGCCAGAATGTGCAAGCTTGACCGGTAACAGGCCATTGCCAACCTTGTTCACCAGATACGCCCGTATTTCGGCATGAGGTTTGCCTTTTGTTAGCCTACCACACACGCCCCAAGCCTTGTGTCTCTCACTTGACCTCTACGCTGTCACGTTGGTCGCCTTTATCTTTGTCGTCTTCAGCTTTTGCTCGTGTCCTCGCTTGTGGCGCCTCTGGGTTTCTCTCCGCTTCCATCTTCTGCATGCACCCTGCGGCGCGGACGTCCAGTCGCCCCACTGCGGCGTACTTGGTATTGGCTACGGTATCCCCTGATGCATTGTCTGCTTGGCTGTTCCTTTTTTTGTTGTTATGTTGCTTTTGCAGAGACCCATCGTTTTCATGCATGCGCTTGTTGTCTGTAGGCCACCTGCATGTCGTACGTTCAATTAGCTTGTTAGCTCTGGCTGGGCCTGTCCCGTAACGAAACGGCCTTGGTTCCCTTGGGTCCGTCCGTGCCTTGGCCGAGGTGACGATCAATATCAAGGCATCCGGGCATGAGAGAAATTCGAGGCGGTGAGAGGTCACGTGCCGGCCAATGTCAGGCTCGCTTTACAGTACGAAAGGCGCTGTGGGCGGCGATGTGGAGGGCGGGGAAGGCGTGGAATTTTTCGGGACGGTCGCTATTTGGGTGGCGGACAGCGACCATTTTGGGTGAGCAAATCACTCAAAACCAGCAGGAAGAAAACAAGGTGAAAATTTTTGGGGGCATCTGCCCGCCAGGAAACCACAAAAAAACAACAGACCACCTAAAAGACGCGTCGTCATTGGGCGAACCAAAGCTCCATCCTTGTCTTGTCCACTTGAAAGCTTTTCGTTCTTGCCATTTTGGGCCGCCCAGTTTGCCTGCATTACCCGTCAACGCCCGCCAATTCGCTCACGCCATCGTCGCTCTTTCCTCGTCGTGCGCTGTGGACGTCCTTGCCTCTACGGCTCCTTTTTTCGTCTTTTTTTCTGCTCTTTCCGCATCTCCGGCACTCTCCGCCTCTATCTTTTGTGCTCCACCACCCAAACTCGTTTTGCAGACCGCTTTGGCGGAGTGGCTCACTGATAGACAGACCCTTGCTCTGTTCCTCTTTTGCTCCCCTTGCTGTTTTTTTCTAATGCCGGGGTTGCTCTTGCCTGTCTAGCCTGTTGCTTTCTGGGCTTTCCTGTTTCCGTTCGATTTTTCGGTCTCGCTCGGTCTCTCCTTCCCTTCTGATTTCTTGCAACCTGCACTTGCACAGTCGCACTTTCCTCTCCTCACAAGCTTGTCGTGTTTCTCGTGATACCTTCCACTCGTTCTGTCTTGTCTTCTTTCTGCAACTCCTTTCTCGCACTCCCCCAATTCGCCATCTCCGAGCAAACACGATTTCGGGGCCAGCTTCAACGCTGTTTTCCACCACAACTTCTCCCCACCGCTTCAACACCTCCGTCGCCTGATAGCACCCCACCGACACCCTCGTCTTGTCCTCGTGCCCTACGGCTTCGCAGCGTCATCTGCGCCCACCTCGACTGACTCGACAAATCGCAACTCGACAACTCGATAACTCGACAACTCGATAACTCGACAACTCGACGACAATAGTGACAACTTTGCCAGTGACGAGCGTCGGTTATCTCGACAGCAACGTCAGCTACAATACCGACGTCGACCATACAGACTCGTTTCCCGCGTCGCCACCGCCCACGTCCCACGATGAGAGTGACGGTGACCTCACTTGACAACTAGAGACAAGGGACAACTCACGAGCTTCCGTGGAGAGGACGAGGCGTGTCTCTGGCGACTCTTGACCCGTCGCCATGGCGTTCAACTTCAACTGGTCGCCCCTCGCGGCCGACGCCAGCTTCTACCAGCGCGCCCGCGAGATGCTGACGACGGCCCTCAACAAGTCGCCCAAGCCGCCGATTATCGTCGACGACATTATTGTCACCGAATTCAACCTGGGCTCCGTCCCGCCAGATCTGGAAATCCTTGAGATTGGCGATATTGCCGCCGACCGCTTCCGGGGCATCTTCAAGATGTGCTACGCGGGCGACGCTTTCTTGACCCTCAAAACACGCGTCCAGGTGAGTTGCACTGCGGTTTCTTGGCCCTTTTTTTCGTCTTGTCCTTGCGTTCTCTTGTCACTTCCACCTTTCCCCTGCCTCGTGTTCCCTGTTGGTTGCAGTTTGGAAGTGGGCCCTCACGGCGGGGACGATCACTGCTGTGTGATGAGGTCCGTTTCCTTGTCCTCTTTTTCGTTTACAGTGGCTGCATGCGCACGCCTTTGCCGGCAACGACCTGGCTGGTGGCTGTTGTGCTTGACGGACAGGACATTGCATGCTGCGTGGTCACGATCTCGGGCCATGTTTACAGCTGCATTCGCTTGACTTTTGCGTTTCCTTGTTTCAATTTGCCTTGTTTCCATTTTGCCGCTTCCTACATTCCAGAAGCTCCATGCTCTCCAGCTGTGCCTCCAGGATACCCGGGACTTGTTTGTTGTCGCATGAACCTCGCAATTTGCAAGGCGACAGGGATTCGCGCTACAAAATCGGGGACAAACGGAAAACGAGAAACGAGAACCCAAATGTTTTGGCGTCACCAACCACTTTGTTTTCTTATCTGGCTGCTTTTATTGCTCATTTGCTTTTTCCTCATTTCCCCTTCACGCGTCTTTTTCCACCTTTTGTTTTTTTGTCAATTTCTCACACCGTCTTTACGCCGACCCGTGAATTTGCGTCATCACCTCTGCCGCCCTATAGCAGCAGGTTGCTAATACAGATTTCAATTCTGATAGGCCAATCCACTCAACACCTACCTCTCCTCGAAACCGTCCTTCACATCACCAGATCCCCTCGCCGCCGCGTCCGGCCTCACCATCCCACTCCAAATCACCCTGTCCGAAATCAAACTCTCCGCTTTTATTATTGTAGTTTTCTCTAAACAAAAGGGTCTCACATTGGTCTTCCGCAATGACCCCCTTGAGTCTCTCAAGGTCTCTTCGACCTTTGACTCCATCCAGTTCGTTAGGGACTACCTGCAACGGACAATCGAGGGCAAACTGCGGGACCTGATGATGGACGAGCTTCCCGCCATCATCCACCGCCTATCGCTGCAGCTCTGGTCCCCCGACCAGGTACCAAAGGACGATGATGCCACTGCCAACGCCGAGGACGACGATGGCGAGATGCGCGTGAACCCCCTGGCCGATGCACCCTCAGATGCCGTCGACATCAACGGCAACCTCGTCGACGCTGGCGAGATCCCGTCCCTCTCCACCACTGGCAGCCCCGAGTCTCAGTCCCTGTTCTCCCAGAAGAACTTGCTACGCCTCGCCGCCCTCACCGACTCACACCGCACATTGTCCTTGTTCACGCCGGGCATTCGAGAAGTCGTCTTCCGCGCATGGGCTGGCCCCTCGGACCGCCAAGACACGCCCACCGGCGGCAACAACAGCCCACCCTTTGCCACGCCGTCACTGTCGCGCGGCAACTCGTTCACTGCAGCCGCCACGAACACGACTGCATCGACAACCACGTATACCTTCTCCGATACCGGTAGCCAGGTCCACGGCCACCTGCCATCACGGCCATCGATGGTCAACCTTAGCTCTGCAACAACCGGCCTTTCTCTCGGCTCCAACAGCCAGAGGCATGCCAAGTCGTACGGCAACGGACGCCGAAAGAAGACGCGCGTCGTGAACCTGCGCAAGAGCAGCAGCGGCAGCAGCACCAAGGATATCATTGCAGGCAGCGCACCTGTCAGTGAAGCCGGTGACACCGCTTCGGATAGCGTGTCTGTCCAGGGCCCGCTGTCGGAGCCGATTATGCCTACTTCCATCCCCGAAGAAGACGAGACCCAGGACATGCTCCAGACGCCGCCACGACCTCTCTCACCGCAAGAGCCACTGAGCAACATCGGCGCAGCACTTGCCGCTGCCAGTATTACCCCTGGAGTCCACTTCCAGGAGACCACAGAGAAGAATGCAGCCGAGAGCGCACTCCCAGCGTCTCGGCCGCAGCAGACGCGCCGGGAAGTAAACCGCGCCGGTGTTCCTACCGCACCGATCGGGGGTATTTTTGAGCCGAGAACAGCCGGACCCTTCTCTCCGTCCAAAGAATCCGCGCCTGCAGTGTCCTCGCCCTTGGCAGGGACTCCTATGACACCGCAATCCGCGGCATTTCAGGACTCGTCGCCAGTCATGGAAAAGGACTGGATCATGAAGATGGCAAGCGAAATTGCTCGCCGCGTCTACGACGAGAACCGAAAAAACCCCGTCTTCTGGGACGACCGGGACGACGCCCCTCCACCAGCATATGAGGCCACAAGATAGTTTTCATTTTTGTTTTAACTTTGACACTGCACCCCGTGGGCCTCCATTTTCCCACTCTTCATCCTTCATCTGCGTATATTTCCCCCATTCACCTCATTTTCTCTTTCCAGCCTTCCGTACCGCTTCTCATTGCCCATTTTTCTTTGTTTACAAAATCTTTTAGTGACACGAAAAGAACAGCCTTTTTATGGCTTAGGATGACGATCATGATAGACGGAAATCAACCATTTATGAACTTAACCTTGCTTGACAATCAAGTTCAAGTGTGACACGTGATATTGAATAAAGTCTGCTGTATTGTAAACTCTCTCAGACCGATAAGAACAAGACTCCAAAGTAAACAATAAATTAAATTAAATTCCGGATATCCCTAATACTCCGTAACGATGATACGCCCCCCTTTCTCTTAACGTCTCCTGGTACGGCTTTACAGCGTCTACCGTTCGGTCTATACGGCAATCGGAGCTTGGATGGCTGCCGGACGCCGGCGGAGAGTGCCGTGGTTGGCCTGCCAGGCAGACTCGAAGCATGTCTGGCGCGGAGTCAGCTGCTGTGGCGCAATGCCCAGCCGCCGCACCATACTAAAGGCGCCTGTGCCGATTGTCATGGTCTGGCCCATGATGATGCACTCGCTGACACCCTCGATGCGGTCCGTCTTCATGCCCGCCGCTGCCTCGAACAAATGGTCCGGCGTCTTCTCAAACGACGCAAGATGGAGCACGCTGTCGCGCATCTTGGACATGCCGAACCGCGTAATGCCCAGCACCTCGCCCTTGTACGTCATCACGTCGGCCAACAGCTCCATGTGTCGCGGGTCGATGGACATGTCGACCATCACACGGCTGATCTCGACAGCAATCGACGTGCGGGCCGCCTCGATGCCCAACACGTCGCGGCACTCGAGAATGCTGTTGGACGTGGTGCGCGTGCCAATGACACCCTCTGTAATCATGCAGTCGCGCAGACCGTAGCCTTCGACGAACACGGTGTTCTCGTTTTGCTCCGACGTCTGGATAATGGCCCGCGTCGCGTCCGCGTAGCCGGAAATAGGCACTGTGGGCAGCATCCGCCGCAGGTAGTTGACGCGCAGCAGCAGATCCGCCGTTTCCTCGGTGCCGGTCGTGCTGGCTGCCGCCTTGAGCAGGGGGCCGCTGCCCGTCGCCGCGGCGGTCGCGCGGTTCTTGGCGGCGCGCTTCGCGGCAGCCACGTCGACGTAGTCGTTGGGCACCACCAGCGTAATGGTGTCACGGCTGTAGTCGAGCTCAATCGTCTTCTCGTCCACCTTCATCTTCTTCTGCCGGCAGATGGCCTGTGCAATGTCGCCCAGCCCAATCTCCAGATGCATGTCCATGAGCGCCTGGCGGTCAATCTTGAGCACCACGCGGCCCGCAAAGGTGCCCCACTCGTCCTCAATGTACTGCAGGACGTCTGAAATGTACGTCTTCTCGATGCGGCCCTTGACGATGCGCGCCGCCTCGATCTGGCGCGTGTTTTGCAGCGGGCACTTGATAACGGGCGTGCTGATCTTCTTGGATGCGTTGATAATTTCCTTAATACGTGGCACACCCTGAGTCAAACTCATGCCGGCAACACCAGCGAAATGGAACGTCTTCAGCGTCATCTGTGTGCCAGGCTCACCAATCGATTGTGCACCGACGGCGCCGACAGCGTGGCCAGGCTCCACGTGCGCCAGGCGGTACTTGTCGATACAGAGCTTCAGGAAGTACTCCAGTGTCCGCCGCGAAACCTTGGCCACGCGCTCGGTCCGCTGCAGCTGCGCCGGGTCGATGGTGTCGTCCAGGCCGTTGTCGTTGTTGCCGCCCACAAGACCAGCCAGAGCGCGCGCGTTGGAAAGCTTTGCCGCCCGCTTACGCACGTAGTCGGCAACAGTCTCGATGAACATGCGGGCCCCCTCCTGCAGATCCAAGTTGCGGTCGCTCTGGTCGTTGTAGTCGAGCACCTCGTTGGTGACCAGGTCGTGGCGCGTGTTCTTCTGGCGCTCGCGGTCCAGAATCGCCTCACAGACGGTCATAATCTCGTCAGGCAACAGGGTCGGTTCGTCATTGCTAAACGTCACGGCTTCGGCGTGCGTCCACGTCCGGTCGAAATGCACAGGCACGGCCGAGCCCTCCATGTTCACGGGGTCCAGACGGTCTGCACCAAACTGGAACTGGACAATACCGCCGGACGACGTGCGCACGGTGTTGTCGTACTGCGTCGACAGATCCTCCAAGCACTTCATCAGGCGGCGCGACATGTAACCGGTCTCGGCCGTCTTGACCGCGGTGTCGACCAGGCCCTCACGACCGGAAATGGCGTGGAAGAGGAACTCGGTCGGCACGAGGCCGGAGTAGAAGCTGTTTTTGACGAACCCTTTAGACGCAGGCTGGCGCGTGTTCTTCTGGAAATGCGGCAAACTGCGGTCCTGGAAACCGTCAGGCACACGCTCGCCACCAATGATCTGCTGACCGACACAGGCCACCATCTGGGCGACGTTGATGGCCGAGCCCTTGGAGCCGGACTTGGCCATCGTCAGGGGCGCGTTGTGGTGACTCAACGTCTCCTCGCACTTCTCACCGGCCTGCTGCCGGACTTTGCTCAGAATGCCCGAGATGGCGTTCTCGAGCGTCTGCTCGGGTGTGCAGCCAGGCGCTTTTTCAAGCTTGCCGGCCTTGAAAGTCTCAATCAGTGCATCGCATTGCTTATTGGCTTCCGTTACCAGGTCCTCCTTCTCGGACTTGAGCTCTTCTGTGGGGAACACATCAAACACGCCAATGGAGAAGCCAAAGTTGCCGAGGAAACGGGCGCACAGCTTGGCCAGGCGATTCATCGTGACGACGGCCGCATCCGGGCCGAAATCACGGAGGATGACGTAGAAAATAGAGTCCTTCTTGCCAGATCCCACAGTAGACTTGTCCATACGACCACACATGACCTCGGAGTTGCGAATCACCAACCAGCCGTCATTGGGACACATATCGGGGCACATGCCGGGACGTGGTTTATACTCACGGCACTTGGCGTCTAAGTTGACCAACACATTCGACTCCTTGTTTGGGCGCATCAGCATGCTGAAGACCTGCTTGCCCGTCCACAGCGCCTGAGGCTTAAGAATCGCCGGCGGCGGGATGTCGAGAGGCACGTTGGCCACGGTCATGTGCATGCAAATATAGGTGAAGGCCTGGCGGGTGAAGAACATGTCCTTGCTGCTGATCAGGTAGGAGGCGGTGATAAAGTCCTGGTTGGCGGCAATGATGGGCTCTCCGTTCTTGGGCGTCGTCAGATTGTGCTTGACACCCATCAGGGTGATGGCCTCGGCGCGCGCCTCCTCGGTCTGGGGGACGTGGAGGTTCATCTCGTCACCGTCGAAATCGGCGTTGTACGGGCCACACACGCACTCGTTGAGGCGGAACGTCCGCCAATGGCGCACCTTGACAAGATGGGACATGATACTGAGCTTGTGCAGCGACGGCTGCCGGTTGAAGAGCACAATGTCGCCATCCTCCAGATGGCGGTCCACCTTATCTCCGTACGACAAGTCCCGGGCCACCTGTTCGCGGTCGGCGTACTTGAGATCGATCTTGTAGCCGCCGTCGGCCTTTTTGTGCACGCCCATGGCGCCAGGCCACTCGGACGGCCCGTTGCGGATGAGTCGGCGCAGCTTCTCAATGTTGACATGGTTGGCCAACTCCGGGTACGTCAAATTCTTGGCGACCAAAATCGGCACGGCCACCTCGTCAATGCCCAGGTTCGGATCGGGCGAGATGACGGTACGGCCAGAGAAATCCACACGCTTGCCGGACAAGTTGCCACGGAAGCGACCCTGCTTGCCCTTGAGGCGCTGGCAGAAACCCCGAATGGTCTTGCCAAAGCCCGGCTGAGACAGGCCCGGCACTTCGCTGTTCACATACAGGGCGACCTGCATCTGCAGGTACTCCCACAGTTCCATGACGGTCGCAACAGGCGTGCCCTTTGCTAAGGCACCACGAATGAGACCGCTCAGATGCACAATCTCGGCGAGCTTGGTCGTCAGGTCGTCTTCGGTGCTGGAGTTGTCCTGGGCGACCGAGGGCCGAATGCAGATGGGTGGGGCGGGCAGGTATTGCCAGATGAACATCTCAGGGCGGCCCTCCGACGGGTCGAGGCCGAGCAGCTCACAGTCGGAGGGGCTGACCTTTTTGAAGAGGTTAAGGACGCGCAAAGGGTTGAGATCCTCGAGGGCCTTGCGGACGTGCTTCTCGAGGTCCGGGACGTACTTCTTGGCCGAGGCAAAGGACTGGTCGAACTCGATCTTACCGCGGGGCACCTGCTTCTTCATGGCGGTCGAGCGGTTGAAGGCAGAGAAGCGGTCGTGCGCCAGCTTGAGGGTTCCGAGTTTCTTAATCACGCCGTTCGTGGCACCACAGTAGTGGCACACCTTTGTCTTGCGGCACGTTTCATTGATGCGTTTAGAGATGCCCGTGCGGCGCAGGTTGTCGATGCCTGGGCGACGCAACTCTTTGAGGAACGACCGCCGGTCGGGTTCCGCGAGCAAGACGTGGCCACAGTCCTATAGCGGTTAGCAAGCCGTCTAACAAGTGACGATTGAGGTCTTGTGTCCGCCATGTCCTTCTTTCAGCACTCGTGACGAGAAATGCCACGCACCTTGCAAATATTCTGGAGGATCATCTGGATAAAGCGCAAATATCCGATGTGAAAAACGGGGAGGGGAAGTCGGATGTGGCCGAAATGGCCTGTGCAGAGCTGCAAGGGCTGCATGCAGGTTGAGCATTTGCCCATCTTGCTCGACGTGCCCTGGAAGGTGTCAGCAATACGTTATGAACCGCAATTGACAGGAAGCATGGAAAGGGTAGACATGTGATCAGACGCACCAGTCGAGGATCAAGAGGGCCATGCTTGTAAGGCGCGCGGTTGTTCTCAATGTCGTAGAGCATCTGATCCGAGACCTCGAGGACAGCCTGGTTGACGATGTCCTGGTTGGACCTAGAAAGCGGCTGTCAGCAGAGAAAACATCAGAGGTGGAGACCCCTGTGCACAGAGAATGATCCAACATACTGGATGCCAAACTTGATGCCCTTGAACCGCTTGGGCAGCTGGTCCACCATCTGCTCCTTGACGGGGCCATGAGGCCGAGCGCCGCTCATCGTGGCGGCCGGGAGCTGGGGATCGCGTGGGTATCGGGCGAGGAAGCGATCGTGTGTCGTGCGCGCCTCAGTAAGACGCACTGCTACCGCATGTCGTGCGGGAAGAGCGCCTGGGACGTGTTGAACGACGAGGGATGAGGCGTGTTTGGGGAAGAAAGTGGTGATGATTGGCAAAATCGACTTTTCTGCCGTTTATTTTTTTTTTTTTTTTTTTTTAGCGTTGACTGCTGCAGGTGGATGGGTCTCGCCTTCCCTGAACCAGGCCAGACAGCGGGGCGCGCCTGCCGTGATAAATAGGCCTGTGGTTGACTGTTCGTCCCCCACCATCCTTCTAAAAGCAGCCGAAACACCACGCTGCAGGCAAGTGCAAAGGTCCAATTGCATGGTTGGCGACGGGCATGGCAGGAGTCATCGGCCACAGAGTAAGGGACAGTGCGTGGTGGCTGCGCACAATCAGAGCCGCACAGTAGCGCACATGTGGCAAGTCACCAATGCCGTCATAGGCTAGTCGGTCGTAGCTGCCACAACAGCTACTAACAGTAAGGTAGCCTGACCGAGCATACCTTCGTCAATGTGTCCTGTTTGGATTCTGCAGAGTTCACTTCAATTGAACAACAAGCCATGACTTCGGGACTTTGACTCAGCTTGCCATAGTCTCCACAGGTTTTCAGCATCTCGAAAATAAGTGCTAGGCTAGCTAGAACCGCAAGGAAGCGAGCCGGTCGCCAATCAGCCTCGGCAGATCGCCAAAGTGATCAACGTTTTTGCTTTGCCAGCTTAAGCACTCGAGGATATCTCTCGTCTTTGGGCACCAACTGCCTCTTCCACCGCAACTCCAGCCGCCCTCACGCGTCCGTGAGAGCTTCTGTTTCACATTGGCGCAGGCTTCGAGGCACTTGCTCCTGTCGTTTGGCCCGCACGTACCCGCTCGGCACTACGGCTCGGACGCCGCGTCTGCCTGGAAGCACGTCCGGGGTGCGCTTGGCTGGCGGGCCTTGTCTGTGCACCGCCCTGGTCAGCTCGGGGAACGACACTACGCCGACAACACAATGGGTCCGCCGGCAGTGGACAAGAAACCCGAGAAGACGACGCTGCTCGGCTCCATGAACCCATGGGGCGGCAGTGGCCGAAGTACGCCAACGCCCGGCCCAGCAGCTGCGGATCCGGCCACGGCCGTGACAGGCACAGGGCCAACGACGTTATCGTCTACAACGGGCCCAGACCCGGCGACAGGTACTACGTCGACCGCTCCTGACCACAGTACGAGGCCCTACTACGGACGCAGCTTCAAAAGGTATCCGCCAGGCTGTCCGCCGCCGAGAGTGCAATGGTTCCACGCGGTCGACTCTCCTAAGCGCAAGGCAAACTGGATGGGAAGCAAGCAGGTGCCACAGGACACGAAACCACTTGCGCCGGCGAAAAAGTATGTCAAATTCTCTGCCAACGACAGTCGCTCAATCGAAGCGGCCTACCAGAAAGAACTGGAGAGCTTCGAAGACAGGGACCAGGCCCTTCCAGGCTCTCGCTCACGGGGCAAGTCAGCGACAGACACAAGTGACATCTCGGATGTCGGAGCGACCTCCAGCAAAGACGGAAAGGAGAGTGGCGGACTGCAGACGAAGGGTTCCGGCGTCAAAGTGCCAGTGAACGAGGACTTCCTCTTTGACGTGGACATTGAGAACCGCGAACTTGCGCCTGTCTACTGGCTGGGCCCCGTGTACGATGTGCGCCGCGGTATCTGGTTCTACCAAGAAGGCTCGAATCTGCGCGCCTGCGAAGAAAACTTGGCTGCCCAGCTCGAGGAGGGCTACCTAAAGGCTAAACCGTGGCTCTACCCTGTGCGCGAGAAACAGGCCGCCGCGTCTGTCGAGGTGTCGAAAAAAGAGTCCTCGGAGAATCTGAAAGGGTCGGAGGCCGAAACAGAGGCGACCGCTCCTCCTTCGTCGGTCATTGCATCCGTGACGTCCGTGTTCTCGTCGGCCACCTCGAGCCCGGCGGCAACTGGAAGCGGCGCACTAGACAAGACATTCCATCCCGAATCGCACCGCCTCTTTGGGCAGTACATGAATCATGTGGCGACATACCAGGACGAAAACACTGCGTGGCTGTCGACAGACGGTGTGCTCTCGTGGGTCACATCGACTGTGTACGAGCGTTTCTCCGGCGGTGGGTACATGAGCGGTGTCAAGGTTGTGCGCGGCTACTCGGAACCGAACAAGGCCAAAGACGACAAAGAAAAGGCCAAGGACGGAACCGCAAAGGACGACACAGGACCGGGCGACAGCGCCGAGGAAAAGCGGCTCAAGGCTCTGAAGCGAAGGTCCGCGCCTCCGAGCACATTTGCGACTGCCGGCGGCAGTGGTGCTGATGGGAAAGAGCTGTGGGACGACGGCTCACGCACGTCTACCGACAAGGACAAAACGAATGACAATGGCTCAGGAGCAGCTTCCGAGATGGTGCGCCGCAGCAGCCAGCTCCATCGCCAGCTGTCCTCTCTCATGGGCAAGAACGAGAACTGTGACCCAGCACAGCAGGCGGAAGAGATCCGGCGGCGCGCCGAAGAGGAGATTTCTGACGACTACAATGCTCAGAGCGGCGAGTCGCAGGGCCGCGAGATTGAGCACCTTTTCCTTGTCACGCACGGCATCGGCCAGCTCCTTGGCCTTCGCATGGAGAGCCTGAATTTCATCCACGACGTCAATACGCTTCGCAAAACGCTCAAATCGGTGTATTCAGAGTCCAAGGACCTGCGGGCGCTCAACTCTGAGCCACCGGAGGGGCCCGGCAACTGCCGCATCCAGGTCCTGCCCGTCTGCTGGAGACATCTGCTCGATTTTCCGCGCCGCCGCGGCGAGTCCAAGAAGCAGGAGCAGGATCTCAGCGAGATGAATGAAGACGAGGACGAGGAAGAAGAGTACCCAGCCCTCGACGACATTACTGTCGAGGGTGTTGCCTTTGCGCGTGCGCTTATCTCCGACCTGGCCCTTGACGTATTGCTGTACCAGAGCGCCTACCGCGAGCAGATTGCGGAGATTGTGTTGAGCGAATCCAACCGGATTCACAGCCTGTTCCTCGAGCGCAACCCGGGCTTCAAGGGCACCGTCCACATCATTGGTCACTCGCTCGGTTCCGCCATCATGTTTGATCTTCTCTGCCAGCAGAAGGAGAAGAAGCCGGACGCAGAAGAGGCTGAGCCATACCGCAACCCACTCAGCATCTGGCCGTCCACCCGTTCAAAGAAAGCAAAATCAAAGTCCGCGACGGTGTTCGATGAGGATGAGATTGAGGGCGCCTCAGCATCCGGAGGCAAGAAGAGCCTCGAGTTCAACTTTGATGTGCAGGACTTTTTCTGTCTGGGATCGCCAATTGGGCTGTTCCAAATGCTCAAGGGGCGCACAATCGCTGCTCGGCACCTGCTCAGGTCGCCACAGGCGCCCGATCAGGTCTCGTCACTGTCGTCGTCGGCCGTGGTGTCGTCGCTCGCGGACAATGACAACAGCCCGTATGGGTTCGAGTACTCGGACGACACATTCATGACAGCACCGTCAACAACGGCGACGGACCAGCGCGTCTCGACCATAACGGGCATGCCCTTGTCGGTGTCGTCGCCCAAGGTGGGCCAGCTCTTCAACATCTTCCACCCATCAGACCCCATCAGCTACCGCCTGGAGCCGCTGATCGCGCCCGCCATGAAGAGCCTGAAGCCCCAGCCGCTGCCATACACAAAAAAGGGCCTCTTTGGCAGTGTGGCACCACAAGGGCTGACGGACATTGGCGCCAAGGTGGGCCAGAGTTTCTCGGGACTGTGGTCGAGCTTCCAGGCAGGCATCACAACCAACATCCTCAACCGCAGCCTCGGCCTGACACCGGACGACGTGTCGAAACTCAACCAGCAGGAGCAAAAACAGATCGCGGCTGGCGAAGAGGACAACAGCGCCAACGACTTTGTGGTCGACGAGGAGGTCGAGACGCTCTTCTCGCACTTTGAAAAGAAGCGCGCCGACATGGCCAAAGAAAGCACCAAGGACGCCAAAGCGGCAGACAAGGACAGCAGCAGCGACGAAAGCCGCGAGGCACGGGCGGCGCGCTGGCGGCGCGACGAGGCCAAGGCACGGCGAATGCGGCGCGAGGAGGCCAAGGTGCGCGCGCTCAACCGCAACGGCCGCGTCGACTTTCACATCCAAGAGGGCGTGATGGATTTCAACCCCATCAACACGATCGCGTCGCACTTGACCTACTGGGCGGACGCGGACGTCAGCCATTTTATGATGACCCAGGTCTTTGCGGGCAAGCTGCGGGCAGCGAAGGCGAAGAAGGGCAACTCGTCGGAGGTCTGAACTGGCCTTCGGCCAGCTGGCTTGTTGTGCTTTGGGTAAGCGTGGCGCATGTCGTCCAGAGTTGGGCAAGTGATTTTACATATTTCGTATATTTAAGCTGTGTGTAAATACGTTTCCCGTATTTCAACTGCTCGGGAAATACTGGACATGTTTTAAACCAATGGCAAAATAAAATAATTAAAAAATACAATACACATTAGCAAGCCTAGTACATCCGAATTTGACATATTATTATTATTATCCGCCTTTCTCAGCCACTCCTGACTATTGGCGACTAGTTAGACAGAACCCTCTGGGAAAACACTGTCATAGATCTAGGTGTGTAATCTTTTTAGTTACGGTTACGTACGGTTGGTTCGAATAACTACCGAGGAGGTATAAATAAATAGAATAAAATAAAATAAAATATAATAAATAGGACACAAAAAAGTAAGGAAAGTAGATAGTGTAAAGAGTGTAAGGAGAGTCGGTGTATTATTTAGTGTGTCGTTACTTTAGGCCGGTGACGGTGACCGTTTAAACTCTTTCGTTAAGTTATACTTTAAGGGTTTATTGTTCCGGATAAGTTAACGGAGGAGTGGTCGGGTTATAAGACTCGTTTAAAGTCGGTGGTTTAGGTTCGTTAGTGTTTATAATTAGTTTATCGGTCGTAACGGTACCGTCGTATAAAATTGTAAGGAGAAAGAGATTCGGCAAGTAATCGCCTATCAAACTTACCCAAGTAGCCGAGGAAGGTCAAAAGCTCAATCAGAGTTCCGATCGTACATAAGGCGAAAAGGAAGATTCTGGCCAAGTTCCACTGTCGCCGACGCGCCTTAGAGCGACGAGCGACGGAACTAAGAAAACTCTGCAAAAACTCTGCAAACTTCTCCACTTAAAAGGAATATATAAGAATCCTTTCGTAGGCGGCCACGTATTGTAGAACGGTCGCCTAAACGAAAGTCTTGAGAACTTAAGCATACTTAAATTCCTATCTTCTTTATTCTTTTCTTTCACTGAGCCATACCTACGGTCACCCCATTTTGGCCTTAGGCACCTATTCCTTTACAAAGTGTCAAAAAAATAAATAAATAAATAGTTGAAAAAGCTTTACACCCACACCGCCCATTCTAGTAAACCCAGTCACTTTTTATATGCCATAACACCGTCACCGTCTATCCACCCGATGCATGCTTACACCGAGAATAGTCCTCGCTGCGCCATCTCTGCCCACATGTCGCCCTTGCGGAGAGCAAGCACCTCGGCCGTCTCACCCTCTGCCGTCTGCAGCGAGCGGATGTCTACATTCTCGAGAATGGCCTGCTCCGGACGGCCAATCTGCGCGGCAAACTGCAGCAGCTCGGGCGGGAACTGGTCGACGGGCAGCTGCGAGGCTAGGTACAGCAGCAAGTAGGCCACTGTGATCTGGTCGTTTGCAATGGCGACATGCAGACCGGTCGCCATTTGGTTGAGCGGATCCTGGTACCGCAGCAACGCGGCCGAACGCATCACGGGAACGGACGGCTCATCGTCCTCCATCTCGTCGTCCTCGTCCGCGTCGTCTTGGCCCTCCTCTTCCTCCTTGTCGGCCTCTTGGCACAGCTCGATGATGCCCTCCACATGGCCTTCGCTGCACATGGCCAGGAACGGCCGCGCGCGCAGAAACTGCGGATACGTCGAATAGTACGCCTCTTCGGCAATGTCAGAGTAGACGTCGTAGCCCTCCTGCAGGCCGCTCTCGTTGATGTAGCGCGTGAGGATCTGATGCGACTCGGGCGCGGCGGCCACAGCCGACGAAGACGACGACGAGCCAACACCTACTTGGCTGCTGCTGGTCGCGACATGCTGGCCACACGACGGGCACTTGAGCGTGCTGGCTACTGCGGGTGCGTTCTCGAACAGACATTCCCTGTACGCCGCACGGAGCGAAGGCGGCCCGAGGTCAGAATTTTACTTGCTACGAATGAGGTGAGTGTCAGAGGAAAAGAGGCACTTGCCAGTGAAAATGGCAACCGCATGTAAGCTGGAGGTCGTCTGGCACTTCGACGCCGTCCTCGTTGGGAAACACTAGGGGCTCGTGGCAGGCCACACACGGTGATGCCATTGCGGATGGATGTAGGGGGTCTCTTGGGATATGGATGGGAGAAAAAGGTGATACTACTGCACGAAAGCTCCAGTCAGAATTTGAAGCAGCCACGGTTTATACGCAAGCAAGACGGCATAGCAGAGGACAAAATAAGTGCAACCCGGTATGCATTGCACCTGCGCCGGTGCATGAGACACAAATGTAGGAGTCCCCAGGGGCGTCTCGGCCCGGTGAGCCAGGAGGACAAAGAATGCGCTCCTGTTTCGGCGGCCGAGCACCTCGTAGTTGGGTAGGCCCGGAGTTGCTCTCCGCCATCCGAGTGAGTCCAATACCTCATGTGCAATTGTACAATTGTTGAAGCCAGACGCAAAGAATGATGGCGGGTCCTCACGAAGCAAAGATAAAGAAGCAAAAAACATATATATATATAAAAAGAGAAAAAACGCAACATATTCTAGACCAGCCGGTGCCTGCCGGGTGACTTACCGTTTGGTGGCCGTCCGATGACCGAGAGCCTCGCAGATGGAAGCTTTCGCGATGGACGTCGGGCCAGCCGAAGCTCGTGTGTCTGCGATGCAAGAAGAATCAAGGCCGTGGACAACGGAACGCCTTGCCTTTGAAGCAACCGACAAGCTCGGCACGCAAGAAAGCGCGTTTTGGCGGCCTTTTGTTATCCTGTAGCCTGCTGACCTGGAGACAGTCCTAGTAGGGGGCTATGGCGCGTCGGCTGGAGGCTGGAACAGGGTGTGCGGCTGCGTGAATCAAGGGCTGAAAAGAAGAGATGAAAAATGTTTGGAGATGGTTTTGGATCTAGGAAGAAAATTTGCTGTGTAGCCTTTAGGCGAGAAGGAGTAATTACCTGTTGGGCCGCCCCGCACACTTTGGAATTGGCAGCTGCCTCGCAGACCAACCAGTGAGCTAGTGCCCTGTAAAAATTGACGACGCAAGTCGGTCGTAGCTGCTGCGGCGAGGCCCACTCTGGGACCGCCCTGGCTGACGGTCGCACCTACTGTTTTGCGCTGCGGTGTTTCGTTAAGACCCGCTTTTACCACATGCTCTACTCGCACTCGGCGTGACGGGGCTAGGCGTCAGCGAATCGTCCGGGCGATGGGGGGGGGCAGCTTCTACCCCACCTTCCTTCCCTTTCCACGTCCAGGGGCTGAAGGCATAATTACATCAGTGCCTCGCAGTTCGCTGCGTACCTGCCGCACGCCAATACCAAACCCGCCGTATTGGGGCTTTGGCGCTTCTCTCCTTCCTGGTTGCCTGCACGGCGTGTTTGGCTGGGCAGTGGCGACTGGACTGTCGCGGGTGGTTCCTACCTGCACCCCCGCCAACCGCATTCTACATTCGTACTGTTGGCACTTCCCTCCCCATTGTTTGACAAAGGTCGTACCTGCTGCATAAAAACCCTGATCTCGCCCAAACCGGCTTTCGTGCTTGCGCCCGGGGCCTTATATTGTGATCCTGACGCCATTCCTCTGCCTTTCTGCATAGTCTGAGAAAAAACCACCCAACAACCAGCCGTTCTGCCCAAACGACAAAGAATCAGCGAACAAGCCTAGGACGGCCGACCTACGAACAAAGAGGCAAAGCGGAGAGCTGCTCTAGGCCAGCGGACCCCTCAAAACCCAGAGCTGCCCTCCTCGCCCGCCGTCGTCATCGGCTTTTCCAACGACGCAAAACTGCCTCTCGTCTCTCTCTCTTTTCTACTCTCACAACCGCTCCTTGCCCACCATGAACGTTCTCAAGCTTCAGAGGTGAGTGTCCCTTGTGTTTCTTGGTTTTTGCCGCCGCTTGGTTGGCGTGCGTCCGTTCTGCCCTTCTTCGGTCTTACTGACCCGAGTGTCCCGGACAGGAAATTTCCTCAATTCAAACAGAATGAGATCTTTGAACTGAGCAATGCCTTCCGCAACCTCGATGTCGACGACAAGGGCTACGTCGACGAGGCCACGGCCATCAAGGCTACACAGGCGAGCGAGCGTCAGCCATACGATGTCGTACGCCAAGCTCTAAAGGAGGTGGACCTCGACTCGTCGCGGCGCGTCGAGCTCGAAGACTATGTCGGCGTACGTCTCTTTTCTTCTTTTGTTTGCCTCGTCTCCCAATCTCACTTTCCCGTCACGGGCACTCGCTGACAACACAACCCAGCTCATCGCAAACCTCCGCAGTGGCGCTGGCGACCCCAAGCGCATCTCCACCGGCGCCTCGCCGCTCCCCGGCCCGGCGTCACCAAAGGCTGGTATCGTTTCCCAGCGGACAGGCGGCGGCGGCAGCGGCCATGCCTCCAAGGGCAGCGTCAGCGGCAAGATCCATGTCCAGGGATCCAACGCCAATACCACCCACACCATCAACGAGGACGAGCGCACCGAGTTCACCCGCCACATCAACGCCGTCCTGGCCGGCGACCCGGACATTGGCAACCGCCTGCCCTTTCCCACCGACACCTTTGAGATGTTTGACGAGTGCAAGGACGGCCTTGTCCTGGCCAAGCTCATCAACGACAGCGTGCCCGACACCATCGACGAGCGTGTGCTCAACGTTGCCGGCCGCAAGACAAAGACCCTGAACGCATTCCAGATGACCGAGAACAACAACATTGTCATCGAGTCCGCCAAGGGCATCGGCTGTTCCGTCGTCAACATTGGCAGCGGCGACATCATCGAGGTGCGCGAGCATCTGATTCTTGGCCTGATCTGGCAGATCATCCGCCGCGGTCTGCTCGGCAAGATCGACATCAAGCTGCACCCGGAGCTGTACCGCCTGCTGGAGGACGGCGAGACCCTCGAGCAGTTCCTGCGCCTCCCGCCCGAGCAGATCCTGCTGCGCTGGTTCAACTACCACCTCAAGGCCGCCAACTGGCCCCGCACCGTCTCCAACTTCTCGTCGGACGTCAAGGACGGCGAGAACTACACGGTCTTGCTCGCCCAGATCG